TTTTTAATAAAAGTAAATTAGCGACGTTTTCTTACTTTTGTTTTACTTCTTTTGTGCCATCACGATGATTAGAAATTTTAAGGTTTTTAATAACAATTTCATTTCTTCCTTTTTATACATAATTTACGGGGTATATGTATGTACATATGTATGTATTTATGTTATATGAAATTAACACAAGCATTCAGTGGCCATATAGTGCGCCCGCCAACGGAAGTCTCTCTCGCCTTTTGCTGGTGGATAACAGCCTCATTTTTAAGCCCGAGCAAAAAAACATTTGAAGAGGGTATTGTAGTATTTTCTTATCATATTTAATAATAGTTAACGAGTTAAAAAAACTCAAAAGAAAATATTTAATGTCACTAATTAATATTTTGAAGTAAAGAGCGGAAAACATTCAGGTCAATTGAGAAGAAAAATTATGGATTCCCAATCAGTACAACTGTCAAGTGTTATAGAGGTAGAATGACTTATGGCGGTGATACCACCGGAAGTAATATTCCCTCACTCTTTTATATCCTCTCTGACCGAAAACGTGCTTCTGATGAAGTTCATCAGTATGGGTAATTTTATATTTGCAGCCTTTGAAACGGCATCCAAAAACTCTCGACCAGTAGTTGTATTTATTATTCTGTAAAGAGTCTTGCGTTCACACAGAAGATGTTTTAGTTTCCTCTTCAACTCTCGGTATCTATCTCATCCCGCATCGATCGATTGTACATAGCAAGGTATGCAGTTTGTTTTCTCTCTATCACGATCAGTTTCAACGTTTTTGAAAATGTTTCATCATGGAAACTGAATTTACTCACCATTATTATACGGATACCTTCTTTGCCCATCCTGGCGTTAAGGTCGGTCCCATACGTTCGCTCCAATAGAAGACATATTTGGTCCCATTGTCCCTCTCTTCCATCCAAGCCTGTTCGCAATGCAGTGTTGTGTTGAAGAACTTCGCTTTGATGCGGATTGGGGATCCACCGGAGTGGATGCCAGGCCTCAGCCACGGAGTCTCTTTCCCACCACGAATCCCACATCGAATTTGCGCTCCTTTATATGGCAACTGTAGTAAATGACTTGTACCTACTTGTCTCACTCCTTGTTCCGTCCATCGCAAATCTGGGACGACGATGTCAGCCTTAATCTTACGAGGACTGAAACCTGCTGGGCAGCGACAGCTTTCCATTTAAATGGAACCGGACATTCCATGTGCATGGCCTTAAAAAGTAATACTTAATGCGTTTGCCATGGTCGTCATCAAAAGAGGGGTTTCTCGTCCGAGGCTTTTGATGATTTTTCATTGGGGCATTTTTTACGTGCCGGGTCCCCAAAGCAGCACACTACCCTGGGGAGAGATGGTTCGCCTTCTCACTTTAGCTCGCCTTCAAACGGATGATCTTTGGATACCCAGAGGATACTTGGTCCAAGACCGGAAGTCGTGAGCTGCTTGCGCCATATGTAAATGAATCGTTAATGGTCACTCCCAAGTGAATGCCGCTCAAGGAACTTTCCTCATCCTCTGTCCTCTCGATCGGAATATGAAAGCTTAATCGATTATTTTTATTTTTATTTTTAAAACAACCACAGTACAGGCATTTTTTGAATATAAAATATGGTGTCTAGGGTTGTGCGAGTAAAAGAATAAAATAAAAGATTTCATGACTGACCCCAAAACATTTTTAATTATGAAGATTCTAAATTGAACATTCGAGGAAAAGTGGATACGATTATCATAAAACAGCGTTTTAGGAAGAGGAAATAAAATTTGTCTGAAGAAATTACTTCCTTAATTGGGGTTGTCCGTTATTAGATTTACTCGTATTGAGTTTCCACGTTTGTATCTGCTATATATCGCACAAATACAAACACATTTATATATTTATATATGAGAGCCAAAGTAATTGCCATAAAATCCCAACGTCAAGCGGTCAAGGTTATTGTAAAGTCCATCCAAGTGGATTTCAAACGAAATTAGTATAAACAATAGCAATCTCTGCACACCCCACATAAACAATATATAATGTGTAATTACGAAATATGTGTAAAACAATGAAGTGTGTCCAATTGTTCATCAATACTAGTTTGCCCAGCACTTCAATTTGTGGCTTACGGAGTAGACGTCACTTTCATTGCTTTTCCCTCCTGCAATCAATGCAGTGTTTACTGATCAACAAAAACAAAAAACTCCATTAATTATTATTATTTTTTTTTTTATCCGCAAGGTGACTTTGCTGGAATTATTTTGTGCATACATGCGTGTGAACTTGTTTCTATGTAGAGATTTATGTCAATTACACTTCAAACTTTTTTCTATTATTTTGTGTGTTAACTGAGCGTTTGCATTACAAACAAGCAGTTGAACACGAATTTGTTTGCAAATCAAATTAAAAAAGTAATCACGAAGTCATTTTGATTCAATTTGCCAAAAGCGCCGACATCAGTTTAAATGCTTGCAATCTCTTTGATACATACATATGTATGTGCCTACACAATTATTGACATAAGTGCCTTTTACAGTGATCAGTATTTAAACGATAAAGACGATAAAACGTTAAACAACTATAAAATTAAGACAAATATTGGAATACTATATACTTGTATATATAATATTTGAAGTTTACATGGCAAGGGGTGCGTGTGTATAAAAATTAAATAAAATAATATGCAAAAAAGTTTGTAGACCACCCCAAATTGACTGATAACACCTTGTACTTATTATTTAATCTAATTTATTATGGTTATTTTTGTTTAATTTAATTTTTATTTTATTTATGAATAAATGTCCAAATCTTAATGTCAAAAATCCCAGCATTCAAAATGTTCACTGTTTTTATCGTAACGGCAGCCCTACAAACTTACCGGTCACCATTGTGAATTCACGCCGTGAAAGAAGAAGCAAATGTTGCTTTGATTTATACAGAAATTGACGACGTAGCCAAAAACAAGTGTTAATTATTTCTACAAAATGTTTAATATTCAAACGCATATGGTAAATATAAATTTTTATACATTTTAAACAATGTTAACATATATTCTCTACAAAAGGACTATGAGGGCCAGCACAAGGCGGAGAAGTTCTCACGCTTCATTATTACACTTTTCGGCATTGTCGGACTCATCTGGGGTGCTATCATTCAGCAATTTTCGCAAACTGTCTACATTCTCGGTGCAGGATTTCTATTGGCTTCTATTGTGAGTATTTTAAACTAATTGAAAAGCTGTATTTCGTTTACACAACCTTTATTCCACTAGATTACTATTCCACCATGGCCAATATACCGCCGTCATCCCTTGAATTGGCAAAAACCACGTAATATCGAAGTACCTACAAGCAGCGGCGATGAAGGCAAGAAAAAGAAGAAATAAACACCGATGTTTATGGCATATACTGTATTCCATATATAGCTTTTAGTAATGAATTTGTGTAAGATTAAAAATATAACAAATTAAGAAATTAAATTTCAGTAATGAAATAAAAAAAAAAAGAAATTAAAGCAAGTGGATGATAGAAATTTGCCGTCAGTGTGAGTTTTAACGAACATTTAATATGTGGATCAAGAATAGGTTGGTATTGGTGGTGAAACATATACCTTTTTTAGTTTTAAATATTGTATTTTGAATTATGTTAGTTAAAAGGAATGTAATCTTCAAGCGTTTTTTAACGTGTTTGGCTTTGTTTTTATTTTTATTTATAAAACTAAATTTACTGTCTACAGCACCACCTTGCGGCTGCATGTGGCAAAATAATTTCTTCTACAGTTGGTAACATCAGCAAACAGCTGAGTGTGCAACAACAAACCCGATTTGTGTTGTTCCCATTTGACAGTTTTCTCTATTACTCAGTTTCTTCACAATTCATTAATTTTCTTCCTCATAACTTTTGCATTACTTACCAGTATATATAGAAAAATAAAACGAGAGTAAATATTAATTAACAAATACGAAACTTAAGTAGCTGTGAGTGCGTCAAACAACGAGATAATGCAATGTTCTAAGTCGTAATATTAACACAGATACGGGCAGTGCTGTTTTCCGGATAAACGCATATAGTGTAAAAATATTAAATTTCTAATGACTTCAGCGTAAATCCTCAGTCAAGTAAGGTCAATAATAATAACGAAAAACCATTAACTTCATTATTCTACTAATAAACTAACAAACTGCAACTGCTAGATACCGCTAACATAAAATATAAGTGTAAATATTTTAATAAAACATCTAGTAACAACCGACAATAATGCTTCTTTTGGTTACTGAATCATCGCCAATGTCTATTAACATATGGTTAACAAAAAAAGCAAAAAAAAAAGACAAATCAAATAAAAAGTGACACATACATTTAATAATAATACATATAAGCTATCCCCAACTTCCCACACCGACTACTTTGATTGCAACGGAAATAGCATCAGTCCAACAATAAAACTATAGTCTCTTACAGTAGTGCTATGAAATTTAGGGTGTGGAAAACGGGTGAAGACACTATTTACAAATCCATTCAAAAACACTTGAATACATACGTATACGCAAAAATATACACCATCATATTTACAAAGTTTTGCGTCGTATCCTTGAATGAAAGGAGTGCGTCGCGCAAACAAATGTCGTTAACAACGTCTTATATAGGTGCTACTAGACTTGTGAGCCGAACGGCATACCTATATACATATGTATGCCTACATACATACCTACAAAGTAACATAGCGCGACTTTTGTTTGTGCCTACGGTTATAAATTTGAATATCCAACTGCAAAACGAAATTCGCCCTCTTTCGCGATGCGCCGTCTCAACACTCTGGGCCAGACCACCGAAAAACAATTGACATGCGTTTGACTTTTGCTTTTTTGGCTTTGGCCACTTATAAATGGTCGTTTGTCACGTTGGCTGTTGAGACTCATGGCCTAGCAATTCTACTATTACCGTCTCAATTACTTGATTTATTTTTCAAATTCAGTGATATTATGCATAGTATATACATATGTATACATGTGTAAATGTGTTTGTTCATATGCTCAAGATTACAGGTGCTTTCTTGTAGATAAACCAATAGTAAAAACATTTCCCGATTATTCAAAGAACGTGATTTTGGGCAATTCATGGAATTTATATAATAATTTAGAATGAGATTATTGCGGATTAGGAACAATAATAATACTATAATTGTACTTATGTGATTGGTGTGGATATTTAGACATATCAACATTGCATTAAAATTAACAAATAAAATTATACTAATTTACATCAATTATTAAGATAAAAGTTATATAGCATGTATACATTCCTTAAGCGACTCCAACAGGGCATTTTGAATTAATGTAAAATTGTATAGCCATTGTTTTATTTAATTCCTTAAACTACACATTAATCCTATAAATTAGCAAATAATCCTTTGAAGTTAAATATTAAATTGGTTTACTTATATGCACACAACTGTTTGTGTTATTTACTTCACTGCACTTTATCATAAACACGCTAGTAATCCGAAATGGTCAAGGTCTACATATGTACATAAATATATGCAACACATTTTTTATCAACAGCCGCATATTAAAGATATAGTATTAAGTTGTACCATAATTTGGGTATTTTGTTATCGGTACTAAACCAAAAAAAAATCGTATGATTAGATAAATACATATTATATAAACCTTCAGTCACCAGCTGAGCTTAGCAGACTATCAACATTATTTCTTTAAAATGCACATTACCAACACACACTCGATTTACAGTCATGAATACCCTGATTCCAGTTCAAAATTCTAAGCTAAGAACAGGGGGTTCCGCAGGGTGCTGCCCTCTCCCCCCCATATTTAACCACCAGACGAATTTCCATCACCTCATACGCAGAGGATTGTATGATATTGACGTCAGGGTCCTAATACTTGGCGACCATATTCATGACCGGAATGAAGGAGTATAGACTGGATCTTAATATTGCAGTCAATGACATTAAAATTCCTACTGTTAACAACCCTAAGATTTTACAGGTAACAATCGATAGCCTGCACTATTTCGCTCCACAACGACCGCAAGTATTGCCAAAGTACCGACAATGATAAAGAAACCTTATACATAGATTCCTTACAAACAATCGGCCGGGTGGTTCAAAAACAGGCAGAGTCACCTCAATTTAGTGGAATGCCGATAAAGAAGATTGCACTCTGTACAATAATATTTTCCTCTTGATATATTACAAATTATTAAATTTCCAGGAATGGCCCTATTTTACCACCACAAACTCCTCCATTTCATTAATTCACTCAATTTTCCCCCTATACAAAAATTCTCGCTGTTCGCCGCGGCGTATACCAAACACTTCAAATAAATCATTCCAAGACATTTATATGAACGCAACAACAATACTTTTTGTATACTATGCTAAAGACGCTGCGCTAACGTACTTAACTGAGAACGAATGCCCTAGCATGATACGCTCGGTTGAGTATGACCCGCCAAGAGACAGTGGTGAGCACAATGAAAGCATTTGAATGAAAAGATCAGCAGTGAGCGAGTGAGTGAGTGTGGTTAATGAAAGCAAAGCCAAAAGCGGCATCAATTGTACAACAAACAACTGTAACAAGTAGCAGCGTACACGCCAAACGACTTCACAACAACAGCTGCGACTGCGTCCCAAGCGCTACACTTGACCACAAAGCCAATTGGGGAGTGACGCTGGCTTCACACGCTGATGACTATGTGGCGTCGCACGCCGGCAATGTGTCGGAGCATTGGAACGCTTTGAAAATAAAATGTACATTTAGTAAACCCGCGACGGCTTGCGTGTACGTTTGGCAAGTTTCGAGTGTTGTTGCTAGCGGATTGTTTGCGCCGGTCTCGCGTGCGGGCTACGTCAACCATACACTGGTCTATATGACTGTGGTGTGTATAGTGTGTAATATACTTATAAAGTGGAATGACAAAAACAAAAAGAACTAATCCGGCACATGTTCAATTTAGTTAATGATGCCATTCTCAAAATTTTAAAGAAAAAAATATGAATGTGTAAAACTCGTGTGGCGCAAAGCGTATTCAATATTCCTAAAAGTGATAAATTATAATAATATTTGGCATATGGAGCACAACCACTTGATGCTGCAGCGCCTCAGAAATCAATGCTCCTCCTCAGCGTTAACAAGTGTTTACAATTAGCTCAGTGTGCCAATTTTTCCTGTTCTTTTTTTTTTTTTTTTTTTTTTTTTTGGTATGTGAATCATCCAAAAATATACATAAAAATTTAAATAAACCGTTGTGCGCCTAATGCGACTTCCGTTGATTGTTTTTTCAGTGAATTAGACTTTGCTGTTGATGATGATGGTTAATTGGGTGGTGATGATACCTACAATGATACACAATGTGTTGCTCTTGAAAATGACAAAGTGTCTGCAGCTGTGATGATGCTATTGTGTCCGACAATCGAGTTGGTGGCGCGAGTGTGACTATGAATGTAAACGAGTAAACGCTACATTCATACGCATCATATTTTCTATAGAAATTTCATAGAAATTTGAAAAAAGTTAAAAAAAAGTGCAACATTAAAAAAACAAAAACACAACATAATTACTATCTTCATTTTCGGCTTTTTGTTTCAACCACAGCACTGCGATTGTGCCGAATTACGTGTTGACGTAGTGCGTATAAACTGGCCTGGAAAGCAACTCGACCTCAACAACAAAGCAACAAAAATGTATTCGGCGGGTAATTAATGCAAATCAATGGCAATACACAATGCTCGCAAACACATGCATATAATATTAGGTGTATATGTGAAACAAAAACAATTTTACGCACAAATGAATTTTTATTTTATTTTCATTGATTTTATTTAGAATTTTACATACATAAAATATTATATAGTACTTTATAAGCGATGTGTTGTTGCAATATTTGTTGCTTTTGCTATTTTGCTAAAAATATTCTTTTCGCAAATGCTTACATACATTATGTACATACATACGTTACACAAAATAAGCATTCATTGTAAATTTTTAAAAAGCACGCCGCTCATACATACATACATAGCACAGACGCATATATAAGCACTTTTGAATAAAAAGTAATTTGTATATGCATATTTTCAGTGGCTTTCTCGCGGATTTCTTATATAAGCCATCTGTTCTTTATTCATCGTGTATATAAAAATTATAGATACAGCTTTTATTGTTATATGTTAAGGTGTGTATTTGCCCTTCCTAAATGAAATTCTACTTGGTGATCACGTTCTCTGTACATACATAGCTACATATGCCTTATCTTACATTTATATATTTTTAATTATTTGTTTTAAAACTTAACTGAACTTCTAACTGTAAAATCAAGCCCTTTGCAGAAATTGTATGCCGGAAATACGGATGATTTTCGAGAAGATGATAGAGAAATTAGCAGTTAGCGTGTTTAAATCTCAATTTGCGGAAGATGTCTTCAACTTTGAGGAAGTTTTCTCTTACAAATATATAATGCTGAAGCTTTTTTGCCAAAAATTGTGTGAATATGTTACCTCTAACACGCAAAAAGTTAGGTTAAAGCTCAGCTTTCAGTTTGGGATCATAAGAAAATAAATAATATTATTAAGAAGAAATAAAAAAAAATGTTTTAAAAATGCTTGTTCAAGGTTTTAGAGCTTACATACCTTTTGTGCAGATCGCACTACTATAGCATATAGCTGCCATACAAATTGAACGTCCATAATTCCGTTCCCACCACAGTCGGGTCTACGTTACCAAAACGGATCCATATTTTTTATCCGGTCAAGGACTGTCAACTTGTCAGAATTCTGCCGGTACAACAATAATAACCAATCAAAATTAAGTTTTCGTAGGATTTTTTTTTTTTTTTTTTTTTTTTTTTT